TCAGACTGGTTACTTTAGTTGTGGATTGATGTTTTTTTTTTTATTATTATTTCCCAGTTTAAATTTCTTTCCAACTTTCTCCAGAGCTGTATGCTAATTTCTTCTCTATTGCAAATGTCACTAACTGTCAAGAAACCGCGGACAGATGGACCCAGTATTCAAGGAGAGACAGTCAGTAGGAAAGTTCAAAAAGGTTTATTAAATTAACAAAAACTCAAGTGGAGCTGTGGCTCTCGGACACTGCAGGATGGGGAGGGGGCACCGCCCAATCACAGAACTCTGGTTTAACAGCCCAGTCCTAGAATGTCCCCAAGTGCTGTAGTCCCAGAGGACATGCTGGAAGCCGATCCTGGTCAGGAATCCAGAACAGACAGGAACAGGATCCAGATCAGGCAGAACCAGAAACAGGTGGCAGGATCCAGACTTCCAGGCATCCACAGGCTCCCAGGAGGGTTCAGAGTCTGACAGGGTCCGAAAACGTGACCATGTGGTCACCAGAGACTGACACGGGAGTGGATTTTCACTCCTGTCCCGTCCCACTCCCACAGAAAAAAATGGTGTCCCGTCCCGATCCCGGGCCAGAGTAGAAATCTAAATCCTGTCCCGTCCCCCTCCTGGTGAAATTACTCCCACTCCCATTCAGAATGACTCCCGCTCCTGCACCCCACCCATTCTTGTGGTCTTCAATAAGATTTCTGCCAATACTCTGGCTGCGTCTCAATTCGCAGCCATTAAATCTGAATTTGTTGTTTTTGAGCGTGGGCGGAAGCACTGTTGGCTTTTGGGTCGTGTAGTTTTTTTGACTCGCATTATAGTGTAGGCTTCAAGAAAAAAAACTACAAAATGGCGGCGCCGCGCCAGTACTGGATTTTTTCTTCTTTCTATTTCATTTTATTTTTTGGCATCGATCCTAGTTTTTTTTTTTTGTTATTATTGGTTTGCTCCCGCTCCCGTCTGCTCCCGCTAATGTTTAATCCTGTAACGTCCCGATCACGTGATCGTTACTAATACTGACCCACGGGAATCCCGTGACCCGTGGGATTCCCGAAAAAATGTCAGTCTCTAGTGGTCACGCACAGGAGCAGACAGGATCAGCTGCAATGAGCAGACTCAGTGGAAGAGGGTAGCTGAGACAGGACGTGGAACCAGAACTTGATGCAGGACTTTAAAATGGTCTCCTCCCTGGAGCCAGGCTTACTGAGATAAAAACTGAACCTCCCCACATATAGAGCCAAAAACCCAGAGGACTCAGCAGGGGGAGGAACAGTGGACGATCAGGAGACGAGACAAACACAAAACCCTCTTTCCACTGGCTGCTAGGATCCAGGATACGAACCAAGAAATAAACTGAACAGACAGACTAACAGAAAAACTGTTAATGATCTGGCCCTGAATGCTCAGGCTGAACTGAATAAAACCAAGAGGAAACAGGTAAGAGGAATAAATTATAACTGAGGCAGGGAGGGAAAACGACAGGTGAAAGGAGGAGCAAACAGGCCAGATCATGACACTAACAAACATTCAAAGACTCAAAGAGACTTTATTTTTCGCCCAGCCTGGAGCGGCACTCCAGTAGGGTGAAATTTCCATTTCAGTACAGTCCATCCAAGAAAAGGCAAAACACACAGAAAGACAATACAGAGACACGGGGGGACGCGGTGTCTGAGGCCGTGCTGCGGTAAAAAGGCGCTGCCCTTGCAGTTTGAAAATTGAAACTGTTTTTTCTTTCATTCAGTTGAGGTATAATAAGAAAATGAGTCATGATTTGCCCTAAAATGACTTCTCTTTTGGTTTGCAAAGACTAGCTGAGCTGAGCAAGGACACATTGAAACAGAGACTTCCTAACCAAACAGTAAAGATCCCACAGGAAGTGATGCGTCACCTTTGTATAGCAGTTTGATTTATATTTTAGAATAAAAATCAGCTTTATTTGACCCTTTTTACTGTTAGACTTTGGTTCCAGTCTGCAAAAATACGTATGCATCTTTATTTCTTTTAGAATTGCTAAAATAACATTTATTTCTTGCTGCTGCCTGAAGGAAATCATTTTCATTTTAAGATTAATACAGTTATTCTGGAGGAGATTTATCAGTAAAATCCATTTTTTCCCTCACTCACTCCTGCAGCCAATTTGGCCTCTTTGTGCGTTTTTCACCTCCAGAAATGGTTCTGCTGGGTTTCAGGTTGTGGGAAGACGTACACCATGCTGGGCACTGACAAAGAGCCAGGCATCTATGTTCGCACACTGAATGACTTGTTTCGTGCCATCGAGGAGACCAGCGACGACATGCTGTACAGCGTCTCCATGTCCTATCTAGAGGTAAGTCCTTCATTTCCCATCAGACACAAAGACATTCCCTTTAATTCTATGATGAGAGGCTGATGGCGTCAGTGCTGCAGCTGTTTTACTGCCTTTACCAAACTAATTGTTTTTCAAATTCAATTCAATTCTATTCAGTTTATTTCTATAGCTCCAATTCACATCATGTCATCTCAGGTCACTTTCCAGTTCACCAGATCATCCAGTCAGATTGATTCAAAGTTTTCTATCTAAGGAAAACCAGCTGATTGCATCGACTCATTGACTCTTCAGCAATCCCTCACACTAAGCATGCTTGTAGCGACAGTGGAGAGGAAAAACTCCCTTTGAACAGGAAGAAACCTCCAGCAGAACCAGGTTCAGTGTGAGCGGCCATCTGCTGAGGCCCACTGGGGTTCAAGGAGACAGAAGCAACCTCCTTATTTATCTCTTAAAACACACTAAATAACCATAAATATTGCTCCAAATTTTTGACTGCTTAACTTTAAAAACTGTGCCTGATATAAATACTCTGGTGAGAACCTGTCTATGTACTGTACAGCGGAGGTCTTCAACAGGGGGTGCCGACCCCTAGGTGGTCCACGGAGGTTCTGCATGGGGGTTGCGAAAGTTCTGGTTGATTAGACTTTTTTATTTATTTCCCCCTGCAATTTTTTCCACTGATTGAAATGTCTTTAAATCCACATTAACATGAATTCAACACACTGTAGTAAACAGATAAATGGAGGCAGAAGGTATCTTTCAGTCATCAATGCACACATTCACACACACTGCAAAAACTGTTAATCTAATTTAGTAATTATTTCTTAAAATAAGTGGATTTCTTCTTAAATTGAGCAGACACTTTGTCAGTAGAATAAGACCATTATCATTTAAAATAAGAAAAAACAACTGAAGTCTTATTTCAAGGGCATAATATCTAATTATCTTATTTCAAGGGTAAAAATGCTCATTCCATTTGCAGATCATTTTATTTTCCGGCTTAAATTATGGGTGAATACACTTATTTTAAAACATTTTTACTCATTTGTAGAATTTTTTTGCAGTGCAGGAGCTCTTTCAAGCTGGGAACCGATTCATTCACAACACCTGACCCAACCAGGAATCAGAATCAGAAATACTTCAATAATCCCACGGAGAAATTACTTTCGTTACATATAGGACCAGTTTGATATAACACAATTTAATACAATATATATAATTAGGGGGTACCCGCTCCATCTAGACATCAGTTTGGGGGTCCTTGGCCTGGAAAACGTTGAAGACTCCTGCTGTACAGTATCTGCACCTGCCATCCGGTCAGGGCTCCTTTTGCATCTGTTGCATCATCGGTGCAGCAACGATATAGACTTTTGCGATTACATTTTTTCCTTCCACTCAACTTTCTAATGACTCATTTTTGACAATCTGCGAACTCGACAGTATTCATAATTATACAAATAATAACATCATTTAAAAATCCTTTTTTTAGAGACAAGAATTCAACTTTTGTAGATTTTTTTGTAATCAACTGTCAGGCAAAATCAGATAACCAATAAGTAGCTGAATAAATTANACATTTTTTCCTTCCACTCAACTTTCTAATGACTCATTTTTGACAATCTGCGAACTCGACAGTATTCATAATTATACAAATAATAACATTTTTCATTTCACCTTTCATTTAAAAAACCTTTTTTTAGAGACAAGAATTCAACTTTTGTAGAAGTTTATTTGTAATCAGCTGTCGGCCAAAATCAGATAACCGATAAGTAGCTGAATAAATTTTCTCTTGTTTGTTTTGATGCGAGTTTGACTTTTTCAGTTGAGACAGAAATCAACTTTTCAAAGATATTCAAATTTTTTAAGAGTCAAGAGGTAAATTGTCACCAGCTTCTCCTTAAGGAAAATAAGTGATGGATGCTTTCATTAAAACAGTGAGAGTTTTTTTTTATTTTTATTTTAAAAAACAGAAAATTCAGGACTGTGACAAAATGATTAAAAGCTTTCAAATCAAATTGAGATGAAAGCAGAAACAGGATCCTGGAAGTGACAATTTGATTTGAAGACTAATTTATTCGTCAAACTCACCTCGAGCCGACTGAATGCTCCAGAGGCTTTCCTTCATGCTGACGGCTTAAACGCTCGGTTATTTTTTATTTCTCATAGGATGTCAGCGGGGGGAGAGGAAAATGATCTGTGATGCCACCAGTGCAGAAAAGTGTTTTCATAAACAACGTGAAAGCCTCCTTTAAAGCTTTCTGCCTGGTTTAGGACTAAAGCGCCCCAATGTCGGGTCTATCATGTTTAAAAGTAACGATGCTCAGAATGCCTTCTCGGTGATTTCCCCTTCATGAAAGCAAACAGATGTGTGCACTTTGCTCAGCGCATCTATAAAATGCCGTTTAACCTCTTGGCTGTGAGGCGGCGGCAATAACAGATCGCTCCCTGGAAACAGCAAACACACGCGTCACACATGCATTCATGTGAGGACTCAAAGCCATAAAAGCAACAGAGAGCTTCTACATTCAGTGTCTGACATTTTGATGGAAAAGAATTTCACTCCCACCCGCTCAGAGAAACCAAAGAGCTGCAGAGCAATACATTTGTTCCTGGATGTTTGTGATGACAGCGTCTGGCGGTGGAAACAAAAGGCATCATTTTTATGCCAGATGCCAAAAAACTCCTCCAAGAGGCTGGAATTGTTTCCTAACGAGGCTCCTTTATGCCACTTTGATTTTAATTCAATTCAATTCAGTTTATTTCTATAGCGCCAATTCACATCATGTCATCTCAAGGCACTTTCCAGTTCAACCAGATCATCCAGTCAGATAAATTCAAACTTTAAGGAAGCTTTACTGCACAAATTATTAAATTCAGTTTATTTCTATACACTGGAAAAAATCAAAATCTAGATAAGTAATTTTTTCTTAAAATAAATGCATTTGTTCTTGGATTGAGGAGGTAAAAGAGACATTTTGCCAATGGAGACAATTTACTTTCAAAATAAGAAAACACAA